TTTGATTTGGAAAATCTTATCCCAAACTTTTATTTGAGGTAATGTTTATCTTTGAAGTTGAGATGTGTTTCTTGTATGCAGAAGAATGGTGGATTCTGGCTTCATATACATTCTGTTAGTTTGTGTGTTTTTTTTTAAAGATTTTATTTATTATGTATACAACATTCTGCTTCCATGTATATCTGAACACCAGAAGAGGGCAACAGATCTCATAACGGATGATTGTGAGCCACCATGTGGTTTCTGGGAATTGAACTCAGGACCTCTGGAAGAGCAGTCCATGCTCTTAACCTCTGAACCATGTCTCCAGCCCCAGTTTGTGCCTTTTTATAGGCAATTTGAGTCCATTAATATTGTAGGAAATTAAAGGCCATTGAGTGAGTGTTAATTCTTTTAAGTTTTGGATTTGTTTGTGGTCGTGGTATTGTATGTGAATTTACCCCACTTTTTCTTTTGACTTTTGGTAAAGTGGGATTATCCAATGCCTATGTATTTGTGAGTATAGTTGACTTCCTTAGGTTGGAGCTTTCTTTCCAGTACTTTCTGTAGGGCTGGATTAATGGATATGTATTGTTTAAATCTGGTTTTGTCATGGAATATCTTGTTTTCTCCATCTGTAGTGATTGAAAGCTTTTCTGGATATAGTAGTCTGGGCTGGCATCTGTGGTCTCTTAGTGTTTGTAGAATGTCTGTCCAGGACATTCTGGCTTTCAGAGTTTCCATGGAGAAGTCAGGTATAATTCTGATAGGTTTTCCTTTTTAAGTTACTTGGCCTTTTCCTTTGCTGCTCTTAATTTTCTTTCTTTATTCTATATGTTTGTTGTTTAGATTATTATGTGATGATGGTGACTTTTTTTTGGTCCACTGTCTTTGGTGTTCTGTAGGCTCCTTGTACTTTCATTGGCATGTTTCTTTAGGTTGGGAAAGTTTCTTCGGTGATTTTGTTGAATATATTTTCTGCCCCTTTGATCTGGTTTCTTCACTTTCTTCTGTACGTATTCTTTTAGGTTTGGTTCTTTCAAGGTGTCCCATATTTTCTGGATATTTTGTGTTTGAGATTTGTTGGACTTAAGATTTTCTTTGGTCGATGGATCTATTTCTCTTAGTGTATCTTTAACACCTGAGATTCAATTGGTAGACCAATGGAATCAAATTGAAAACCATGATATTAACTCACACACCTAGGAACACCTGGTTTTTACAAAGAAGCTAAATTTATACAATGGAAAAAAAGCATCTTCAACAAATGGTGCTGGCATAACTGAATGCTGGCACATAGAAGACTGCAAATAGATCCATATCTATTGCCATGCACAAAACTTAAGTCCAAATGAATCAAAGACCTCAGCATAAATCCAGGCACATTGAAACTCTTAGAAGAGAAAGTGAGAAGTACCCTTGAATGATTTGGAAAAGGAGACCACTTCCTGACCATAACAACAGTAGCACAGACACTCAGGTGGACAATTTGTAAATGGGACTTCCTGAAACTGAGAAAATTCTGTAAGGCAAAGGACACTATCAACAAGAAAAAAACTGCAGCCCACAGAATGGGAAAAGCTCTTCACCAACCCCACATCTGACAGGGGGCTGATTTAAAAAATATACAAGGAACTCAAGAAGGTAGTCACCAAAACACCAAATAATCCAATTAAAAACTGGGGTACACAAAGAATGCACATTCATGTATTAAGGACATATGTTCAACTATGTTCATAGTAGCATTATTTGTAATAGCCAGAACATGGAATCAACCTAGGTGCCCCTCAAATGAAGAATGGCTAGAGAAAATGAGGTACAATTACACAATGGAGTACTACTCAGCAGAAAAAAAAAAATCAATGGAATCTTGAAATTTGCAGGTAAATGGATGTAACTAGAGGAAACAACCCTGATTGTGGTTACTCAGTCAGAAAAAGATAAACATGGTATGTACTCACTCATGTAAGATTTTTAGACATAGAGTAAAGTATTTCCAGTCTGCAATCCACACTGCCAGAGGAGCTAGGAAACAAGGAGGACTCCAGAAGATTGCATAGTCCATGGAAGAAGTGGAGGAGGACAAAAACTCTGAGCAAAGTGGGAGCAAAGGGGTGGGAGAGGAAGGGGGTAGAAAAGGAAGAAGGGAAGGGGAAGGAGAACAAGAGAACTGAGACAGAAGAGGAATAGAGAAGGGCAAGAAAGGAGATGCCTTGATAGAGGGAGATAGTACAGGTTTGGATAGAGCTCTGTCACAGGGGAAATGTTAGGGGATCCATAGGGATGACCCTAAGAATCCAGGAAGTGGTGGAGAAGATGCCATTGTTCCTCTTCACCTATAATGAGATTGATGTCTATCTTGGTTACCATTTCTAGAGCCTTCATCCAGTAGCTGTTCAAAGCAGAAACAGGCACCCACAGGTAAGCACTGAACTGTACTCCTGGAATCCAATTGTGGAAAGGGAGGAGGGATGAGGGATGAGCAAAGGGAGGAGGAATGAGGGATGAGCAAAGGAGCCAAGATGGTGCTGAAGAAATCCGCAGAAAAGTTGACCTCACCTAGAGAGCATGTAGTCCTTAGTCATAAAGCTGGGGAAACAGCATTGGACTGAACCAAGACGTCTGAATGTGGGTGCCAGCTAGGAGGCCAGTGCCATCTATGGGAACTCTGACAGTGGAGCCAGTCTTTATCCCTAGAACACAAATGGACTTAGGGAGCCCATTCTCTATGGAGGGATACTATTGCAGCCCAGATACAGCAAGGAGGGCCAAGGCCCTCCCCCAAATGATCTGATGGACTTTGAAAGTTCCCTGTGGAAGGCCTCACTATTCCTGGGGAGGAATTGGGGGATGGTTGTGGGCTTGGTGGAGAACATGGAAGAATGGGAGGGCGAGGGAATGGGGGGATGGGTGTGTAATATGAGTAGTACTTAAAGAATAAAAATAATACAAAAGAGGAGTACAGAACTAAATAGAGAATTCTCAATAGAGGAATCTAAAATGGTTGAAAGGCACTTAAGAAATTGCTCAATATCTTTAGTCATCACTTACAGCTAAACACTGAGCTGAACTCTGGAATCCAGCTGCAGAGAGGAAGGAATGATGAGCATAGGGGTCAAGACCAGGGTGGAGAAATGCACAGATACTGCTGACCTGAACAAGGGGTTGCCCATGGACCCCAGCCTGATTGCTGGGAAACCAGCATAGGACTGTTCCAACCCCCCTGATGGAAGAAGTCAGTTTGGAGGTCTGGAAAATCTACAGGGCCACTGATAGTGGATCAGTATTTACCCCTAGTACACAAATGAAGTTCAGGAGTCCTCTCCTCATAGAGTGATTCTCTTGCAGCCTAGACACTGGGGGGGGGGTCTATGCCCTGCTCCAAATCATATGGCAGACTTTGAAGATCCCCCAAGGAAGTCCTTTCCCTCCCTAGGCAGCAGAAAAGTGTTGGGATAGGGGGGTCCCTGGGAGGCAGGAGAGGAGAGTAGGGAGAGGGAACTGAGATTTACATGTAAAAGAAGCTTGTTTCTAATTAAATTAAAAATAAGATATGAGGCAGAGGAATAAAATATCCTTAGTCATCAGGGAAATGCAAATCAAAACAACTCTGAGATATCATCTTTCTCCTGTCAGAATGGCTAAAATGAAAAACACCAATGATAGTTCTGCTGGAGCGGATGTGTAAAAAGGGGAACACTCTGACATTGCTGATGGGAGTGCAAATTTGTACAGCCACTTTGGAAATCAGTATGGTTGTTTTTCACAAAAATGGGAATAGTGTCTCTCAAGATCTAGCAATTCCAATCTTAGGCATATATCCAAGGGATGTACATTCATACAACAAGGACATTTGTTCAAATATGTTCATAGTAGAATTATTTGTAATAGGCAGAACCTGGAAGCAACACAGATGCCTCCCAACCAAAGAATGGATAAATAAAATGTGATACTTAAACACAATGGGATTACTCAATGGGAATATAAAACACACCAGAGGAATCTTGAAATTTGCAAGCAAATGGATGGAACTAGTAGAAACCATCCAGAGTGATGTAACCCAGAACCAGAGAGAAAAGCATGGTATGTACTCACACATAAATGCAGAGTAGACACAGAATAAAGGATCAGTCTGCAATTTACAACCCCACAAGTGGGTGAAGGATGGGTGATATCTGGTTTTCCTTAGATGTGAGTACACATAGATGCATTGTAACTGGCAGTTTTTATCTTCACATGTTTTTCCATTATTCATCAACCAAAAATACTCCCCACATCTAATCTTATCATAAAAGAGTGTCTACTATCTTAGCATTTATTTTCTCCAAACCACTGTTTTTACTATATATCTTAAGGGTGAAAATACACCTTCACATACAAAAATCAAGTGAAAAACATATGAAACTATATGTTATAACCAAAAGTTACAACTACCATACATGCCACTTTTAAAAGGACAAAACCATTTATGAGATAGCAAAGGCAATTTAAAGGGGATCAGGGTGTTAGAGGGAACAGAAAATCCTGCCCTTTCAACTTAAGTCTACGCTCCTTGGTGTTTAGCACATACATTTGGAAGATTTTAATTCACCCAATAGTTTTCAATGAGAAACATTATAATCAACATTGTTCAAACCTATTTTGTAAGTCAAAAGCCATGATTCATGTTTCAGATTCTATGATGAAATTAGGGTGAATTTTAAAGGAATCACCTTCTATAAGTTTTATAGCTTCTCTACCTTAAACTACCTCAGTGTCTCACCTCATTCCTTTTGCTGCAATTAATCAAAATCCTTCATTTCTGGCCAATATGTCTTCCTGCATATGAATAAGAAATAAAATGCAACTTGATGTTTAATATTATGGGGGCAATCTTTATGATGGAAATAGATGAATAGGGTGCCTGATTATATATATTCATAAAGAAGTCAAAGGGTTATAAAGCCAATATCTGCAGTTGAGAAAGCTGTGTTCTCTCAAGACTTCTTTGGTGAAGTGTGTTCCCAGGAATAATCATCACCATGAACATCCAGGGGTCAGACTGGAAAGGTATGTGCTGCAGCTCTGTGAATAGTTGGCTTTCTCTGTATTCTTGGGGAATTATGGGAGTATCTAATGTAAGAATTTACCTAACACAGGTTTAACTCTAGAGGGGAGTGGGCAATATCTCCTTTTCTCTAAACATGACATGATTAGAACCAATATGGACCCAAGACAGCTGTGGTGATGTGCAAGAAAGGAAGGCTGTAGTCAAGACGTATCCTATGAGAGAAGAATGAAGAAAAAGTTCATTTCACAATTTATAAAATGAAGTATCAGGTCATCTCAATGGTTGTTGTTTTTTAGAAAAATGAAATATTTGAAAATTTAATAGGGAAACCCAATCTGTGGAGATTATTATGTATGGTTATATGTCATGTTTTCAGATCCCATTTTTAAGAATTTCTTTTTTATTAAAATGAATTTTTGTTATGACTATAAACAAGAAAAAAGAGTTGTTGCTATATAGCAATCATTCATTTTATTTATTTTGTGGTTATAAACTTCAATTACAAGTATATTTTTATCTACATTAAGAAAGTGAATATAAGTAATTCCTCCCAGATTTAATCAAGGAAAATAAATTTATTTTTACTTGTTCCAAACTCAGGTAAAAAGAAACTGCTGTAGCAGTTTTACAATTCTATATGAAAGCTGAAATAACAGTCATGAAAACAGATAGTTTCTAAGGCTTAGTAATTACTTTCATGCATTTAATGTGCTCCCAGCAAATCCACATCCTATAACTTCCCTTCCAATTCTTCCCCCATCTGCTCCCTCATTTGTTCCCTTCAACTTTGTGTCTTCTGATTTGATCCCATGGAGTCTACTATGTACAGTAGGTACCATGGGGATAGGATCATCTACCTGAGCATTGGTTGTCTCTGAAAGCCTTCATCCTTATAGAAAACTCACATTCCTTCTTCCATAAGACACTACCCCGAGTAACAACTCAGAAAATTGTAGGACTTCATTAGTAAAACAAACTAGTTGCTAATTTAAATAAAAATAGAAAAAAAGAATCAATATTCCAAGTCAGCACTGGTTTCATTTATCCATACCCCATGATTCATGTATGTGGTGTGAGCATCAAACCAGAAAAGAGATGACACAGGTTTTTGTGAGACCTTGTCACAACTATAATGTACCAGGAACAACTTGTGTTCACATCTGATCAAACCTCACAAACACACACACACAAAGAGACAAAGACATAGAGAGACACATACAGAGACACACAGGAATATCACATGCATTCAAAACACACACATTCTAGCAATTTAATATTTTGAATATATTATCCTCAGCAGACAAAGGCAGCAGCACTGTTTAATCTAAGTCACAGATATGAGATAGTATTGTATGACACTAATCCTCTCAATGAGACATGAACACACATTCACTCACAGCAGATATAGGAATGATGGTAGAATAAAGTCAGGTAGCATAAAATTCCATATTTGACAAACCAGTGATCTCATTGTGCTTATATGCACTAGTATAAGTGAAAGGATACTGACCGGAGGAGGCATTACAGAAGGAGAATTAGATCTCCCCAAACTCACACCAGGATGGATGAAAACTCAGGGGAACTATAAATCTAGAGCAAAATAGATACTATACCAGTACCTCAAAGGTTGTGTAACTGATTTTCAATCTGCTGGATCTGTTTATCCATTTACTTCTCTGTCTCCTGCATCAAGCACAGCTAGTCTGAGAGTGTTTGTTCAGCTCACCTTGTCCTGAAAGTCTCCCTGTAATCTTTATATGGTATATATTCTGCCACACAGAAGTCAACTGAATGTCATAAATTTCAGAGTCTTCCTGAAGCTGTGGAACTATTTTCTACCTCAGCCGAATGAGGTTCCCAAAAGAATGAAAATTTTCACATACTCTTAGGATATTTTGTTTCATGTAGCTTGTATTCTTCTTCTTTAAAAAGTTCTTACCAAAATGGAAGGATTGAATTGCTGTGAAAATGGCTGAACAACAGATGCTTTACTTCATAGAACTCCATATTAAGTATAAGATGAATCCATATACCATTGACAAAAAAATGAGGAAAGAAAGTTTAAAAAATTAAATACAAGATAAGTACATAAGACTAAGTAAAATATACAGAACCCTTTTCTATACCATGAAGACTTGAAAATAAAAAAAAAAAACCAATTGAGCAAAACATTCACCAAAATTGTTAAGATTATGTTGTTTACAAATTGTCAAAAGAAAACACAGAGAATTTTCTATAACTCTTGGAATCATGATATTTAGCAATTTGACATTCCTTACATATAAAATCTCAATTCTAGGGTGGAGGGCTCTTTCTGTGAAGTGTTTGCCTTATAAGCACAGGTCCTGAGTTTGAACTTCAGAAATAAGAACATGTGCCATGAGCTTGAATCCTAGCACTGGGGACAAAGACAACCAAGACCTCAGGTTGTATGCCCTTCTAGTTTGTCTTAATTAGTGAGATTCACGTCAACAAGGCAAACTTTTTAAAGTGAGGTCAGCTGTGTTCTTCAGAATGACACTATGACTATTCTCTGGCCAGTATAACTGCACACACATAGCCAAAACACACATACATAGAGACATAGAAACACCTGAGAGAACCACAAAACCAAAGTGTGTGTGTGTGTGTGTGTGTGTGTGTGTGTGTGTGTGTGTGTGTGTGTGTGTGTGTGGGTTTTTTGTTTTTTTCAAATGTGCACTGATATAACATTTATAGCCTCAGTCTTACATCAGAACACCAGTGAAAACAAAATGAATTTTGTTTTATTGTTTTCCATCTGACTGAACTAGGGGGAGGGTAAAGTGTAAATGTCTCCTTCCACCCAATCCTGGGGGAGAGCCTACAATTTCTGAAACTATTTAGGAGATAGTTTAGAACATACGTTAGTCTGACTGTGATGCTGAGTGACTGGCCCTATCTTGAGGGTTTGGAGCTGTAAGCCTCATATTGTCCTTGCTCTCTACAGCAGAGATATTCTGCAGGCTATAGGAAATACAAACACCACTGGTCTGCAGAGTTCTATACTGCATAGACAGACGAAAGGGACTTATCATCTCTTTTTGGAAATATCTATTGACTGAGATGCAACAAAACTGAAGAATATACTATAATGTATCAGCAGTGTTCATATTTAATACTCAGGAATCATAACTTAACCACAGGATGATGGTTACCATAAGAGAGATTATGGATGATCCAAGTATTTAAGCAATCTAGATGGGCTATGGGGAAAAAGTATGTCTATGGAAGCTAAATGTCATAATGTTGGTTTGAGGTCAAGCAGGTACTAAACATCACATATACTGTGATAATATTCTTCTTGTATTAACAATATAAAAAGAAAGGAGTTATTTTGATTCAAGTTTAGATAACTGTATGGTTGCTTCAGGGTTATTTATAGACAGTTGTACAATATTGTGAGTAACTGGAGATGTAACGATAGAAATTTCAAAGTCATTCTTGGGCCCTCTAAGTAAAAAGATTTTGTCAATAAACAACCTGTAGTGACCAGACTATTTTAGTGCATGTCACAGCCTTTAATGGGGCTTGAGGGAGCGGTGAGTGTGGCAGAACCAAGCAGGATGTGGTCCTATTTGACCCCTAATGTATCTAAGTATCCCCCAAATTCTTTTTTCTATTTTGAGGGGCAGTGAAATTCAATATCCCAAGGTTAAGAAAACAATATTCAGGAAAATGTTGGTAGATTCTAGATTGCTAGAGTAGTTTCCAGCAAATATTCTCACATAATCAACTTGCTCTCTTACAGTGGATAAGCCTAGTGCTTTTTCATTCTCCAGTTAGAGCTTGCTAAAATATTATTCGTATTATTACAGATTCTCAATGTCAATGACATTTTGCATTATTTCAGAAATGTCCATCATTTCTAATTGCTCCTTCAAATAGGACTATGTTGTAAGTGTCTTACTGATAAAGTAAACCATTTTGAACCAATATACATAGCAGTGAAAATGCAATTGTACAAGGGACTCTCGGGCATGGAACAGAAAATCCCAGATATATATCTTATTTGAAATCCTTGTATCCAAAGTCAGTTTCTTCTCTAGTAATTTCCATAGGAAGCACATGATACCAAAACTTATTCATGCTGTTGCTACTGTTGTTATTTGTATAGCAGAATTATATGATTACAACAATTGGTAAAGAAATTGAAAATTTTGCTCAAACAACATGAAAATTTTGGGCTTCTATGTTATAGAACCTTTTATAACATGGAATATCTTTCATGATGCCATCAGTCACTATGTAGAATATTTGAGGATAATTGCCTAAACTTGCTATTATTCAGAGACATGATGAGCACATTAGCAACCCTGGCAAAGTGTGGCAAGTAGGGAAACCATGGTACAGCAGATGCCATTGCAACCAATATTTACATGATTTGTTTTCAGTCTCAAAAAATTTTGGGCTTCTATGTTATAGAACCTTTTATAACATGGAATATCTTTCATGATGCCATCAGTCACTATGTAGAATATTTGAGGATAATTGCCTAAACTTGCTATTATTCAGAGACATGATGAGCACATTAGCAACCCTGGCAAAGTGTGGCAAGTAGGGAAACCATGGTACAGCAGATGCCATTGCAACCAATATTTACATGATTTGTTTTCAGTCTCAAGCCACATAAAGCAATCAATATATTATAGTGTAAGACAGGAAAACAAGATGTTTACAAATGTCATGATCTGCATTTATAAATAGACTTTGCATAAGTAGATATGATGTACTTGTCAAAATGCCTTCTAAATATTTGTGTTTAGACCTGTTGATATTGAGCTACATACTTTACAATGTTAATTCGTAATGAAAGAGATTTGTTTTTAGTTAAAACAGTCTGAAATAATTGACTTATGGGGACATATTAGATTATTGAAAGCATTCATCCTTACTGGAAACACTAGGGAACATTGCAGAAGACATGGTAGACATGTTAAGACCTTGAAATAGGGAAAAATAGGTTCTTTCTCCTGCTTACCTGAAACTGAGTAATGAATTAGAAGAGATTGTCTTGCTGATTTGGAGAAAGACTGAACTCTGTGGATCATAGTTGGGAAATGCAGCATGACACACATGGTCATATAACTGTAGTAAGAGTAGGGAGGATGCTAATACTCCCTGAGGGAAGAATGTTGGGCAATATAGACATTAATTAAAATTGGCCTCCAGGTCTGCCTGTATCTGCATATAATCTAGTAGTATAAATAGGATCTGTTGAGTTCACTGAAGGCAGCCCTTAGGTGAAGCAGCCTTCCCAAATTGAAGATTATATTGTCGATCATCTCAGAGATGCAGCTCTCTTCAACTTTACTAAGGCCTGGTAAGTAGACATTCAGCATGAACCTCTAAGTCCAGTATCTCAGTAAGCCTTATATTTATTATAGTATATTATCTTTGGTATGCTCTGTTCCTTATTTCTGGGGAACTGATATTTGATAATGCTTCATTTAGGGACAAGTCAGTACAGAGCTGAAAAAGCTCAGAGTTTTTCAAATGGTGTGCTCTTTGTGTTGCAGACACAAGGCAATGCTCAGAGTTATTTTGTGTTCTCTTTATTAACAGAAGGTTCAGTGTTAGTGGTATTTAAGAACTATTAGTTAGCTGGTCAGTAGTGGCGCATACCTTTAATGCCAGCACTGGGGAGGCAGAGGCAGAAGGATCTTTGTGAGTTGAGGCCAGCCTGGTCTACAAAGCTACACAGAGAAACCCTGTCTCCAAAACACCAAAAAAAATAAATAAAAAAAGTTAAAAAAAAACCTTCTGTAACACCTACCATTTCAAGTGCCACCATCTAGAACAACAACAAAAAAATAATACATCTCAAAGTGTTCAATTTACATTATAGATAAATGAGGCTATATTGAGAACACAAGACAAAATGAATGATGCAGTTTCTTCAAGCACAGAGACAGGAATCTATAATCAATCTGAATAAACTATCTCATCATGTAAGTTTTAAATGGCACATATGAGGAAAATAAATTAGATACAATAGCAATGTACTTAAAAATGAAAGACAACCATAAATTCTCTGGAATTTCATATATGTATAGATAATCATTTGGAATCTCAGGCCCACAGTTAGTCAAACTCCATGTGTTTGCAAAGATGAGACGCTCCTTTGGAGCAAATGCAAATTGTGAAAATTCTCTTACGTTTCAAAATCTGTACTGGAGAAAGATAGCTATTTCTCTGCATTTTCCCCAATTGTAACAGTGAATACTCTAGGAAGGTATATCAATCCAAATCACATACCAGAGGGTCTTCAGAGTACATTCCCAGCTTCTTTAACTGTTGTAACCTCATTTATATAGCTCATCTCATTGCCTTTTCTCTGACAGCAGGGGTGTCTATGTTGCTGCTAGTGTCAACTCTGTTCCTTTGGGAGCATGTGGCCTCCAATCCAAGTGACGCTCTGCCCAGTGAAGCCCTATATGAGTATGTGGTCAAAACGGCTAGTGCCACAGATGTCCTGGCTTCAAATATGCACGATGAAGTTGTAAGTAATGTCCTTTCTTCTAGATACTTATATAAATGGGACTTCTAATGGCTAATCACTAATTAAATTGGAATGAGTCATGTATCCAATTCCAAATAATTTACTTTTATTGGTAAGAAAGGAATCATATACCATTAGTTGGAATGGGAAGTTTCATAAGCTCTCAAAAGATTGTTAAGAATGAAATGATATTTCAAGATTTTCTATACTAACTTTAACAATAACAACTTTAAAGTTTTTAATTTGAAAGTTGATTTCCTGGTCATATATCCAAGGGGGCTCTCTTTATGAGTATTCCTTACATACTAATATGAAGATAACTAGTGCTGGAGAACTGAATTGAAGTTAGTATGTGGAGAGAAATAAAACTAAAGAAAACTATAACAGTATAAACAGTGAAATACAAAACTAAAACAGAACAGATACACACAACTTGTAAATGGAAAGAATCATGGCTCATAGTTTTCAGTAATGAACGTTTTAGTGAAATTGAAGGGCTACTTTACACATAAATTATATTCTCTCTTCCTAAAGTATATGGCTTACCTATGCATGCTCTGTCGGTGGGGAAACAACAAGGCAAATTCCCATTGAAAATTGAATATGTGGATTATATTTCTCTACATTTATAGGTTATGCTTTCCCATTTTTCCTCATTAGTTTTTCTCATACCATTTCTTCTTCTCTCCTTACCCTTAGCTGCACCGCATTTCTAAGAACCCTTTAACTCTATCAAATTATGAGAAATTTGAATCAAGTATCAAACAACCTATGTAGTCCATGCTTCTTACCATTAATATAGAAACATTAAATATTTTTGTGAATTCTTGCTTCACTCACTGCTGAAATGTTTCTTAAAAATATGCCTAGAGATTAATGATTAAGTTTTGATCATAACAACATTAGTGAATCCTACATTTATCATGAACTTTTTATGGTACTTAGATTTGGTAATATTTGAGAGCAAAATTATAAACAAATAATTCTATTTTTAAAAATTAAACATTAGTTTGTGCCAATGAAAATAAGATCTTTATAAATATTGACAAATAACAACAAATATATTACTTTCAGTGTAGCAAAACTTATAAAGACATAAGAAATTAGAATTTTGTTTGGTTTCTTTCCAAACAATAACAGTACCAAGTAGAGTACAAAGGAACAGTAAAGAGGGGAAGAGAATGGGGGGATTCAAGTATATTGCATATGTAAAGGGAGTAAAAGGTAGTCAGATGATATTTCCATTACTCTACTGTTTCAAAATTTTGTTCTTAAATCTCAAAAATGTAACAACATGTCATGTTTGTTTGTTTCTGTTCAATTCTGTATCCCCAATACATTAAATCATTTAATCTCTTCTAGAATTTAAGATTTCTCAGGAGAGTTGCATTTGCCAACAAGCCATGCCACACAGATGTCCTCAAATCTCCAGAGTCTCCTCAGGAAGTTCATAACACAAAAGTAGGTTTCATCCCTGTTTTCTACTATACAAGTAATGCTATACTCAGGCTAATTGTGTTGTGTGTGATTACAAAGCACATAAGAGGTATGGTAACTTCATAACTAATAGATAAACTAAGATGCAACTGTCAGAGAACAATCAGATCATGCAGTTAATGATATTAGCACTATGTAAAATGCCTGCCAACTCATGGTCCCAGAGCTTTACTTGTCCACATAGAAAACTTTTGTACCAGGCCTAGGCCCTATCCCAAAGGATATGACAGACTCTGAAGACACCCCCCCCATGGAAAGCCTCACTCTCCCTGGGGAACAGAAATGGTATTGGATAGGTAGGGTGTTAGTGGGAGGGGAGAAGGAGAGGGAGAGGGAATGGGGATTGACATGTAAAACAATCTTGTTTTGAATTTAAATAAAAAAATAAAAAAATGAATGTGAAATATCAAATGTAAGAAATCTCCAAATAAAATTACGGATTCCCCTCAAAAGAAAGAAAACTGTTCTACCAACAGCTTCTCCTTGTCCATGGAAAGTTTAATTCTGATCTTGACACTCATTTTTAACATATTACTACACATAGAGAGTAAAAGCAAATCCCCTTGTGTTTGTGATACAACATTAAAGGATCTTTGCTCTGGCATCATGTTACACAAGTGAGTAGTGTGTCCTTTCTTAAGTTTCTAAACTATCTTTGATCTATTTGTATTCTGTCATTATGTCTACTGTCCTCCCTGATTGGTATGCCTTTTCCTGCATCTTAACTGAAATTCTTTGCAAAAGACTCATGTGTAGACTATATCATTGTCCTCTGGATGACTTCTGTTTTCATAAGGTCCACATAACTCTGAGGATGTATATGTTTTATGATCTCTTGCCTCTGGCTACCTGTAATAAACATCAGTTTATTTATATAAAGTTAATGATATATCCATCCCATACACATAATCCACTCTGCATTGATGCTTGTGTTACTGAAACAGGTATCTCATATACAAGATATTCTCATCAATATAGTGTGGCTATAAAAGAAAAAGAAACAGAAGAAAACATTTGTACTGTTTACTTTTCTGGACAGTATAAATAGCATACTTTTGGCATTGAAATATTTAATATTGACAAACATTCTTTGATAATAATTCTTCTAAGAAGAAAATGAATTGCCAGGAGTTGGTGGTGCATGCCATTAATCCCAGCACTTTGGGAATCAGAGGCAGGCAGGTCTGTATGAGTTTAATAGATTTCCTTTTGTACTTGTCAATAAACAGACAACTCCTCTAGACCCAAGTGTAGGGGGAATCATGCAGATATGTGAAATTATGATTTGTCTGCAGTCAACTCATATGATAATTAGGGAGTCTAAAGTATATGAGAAACCAATTTGATCAGTAGTGTAGAAATCACTTGACTCATTTACTCCTGACAGTGTTGGCATCTATGTTTTATGAGTCATATCTTTGGACACCTACTGAGTCCTGTCCAACCAGTTTTTTCAAATGACAGTATAAGCAATGCAAGAGAACAATTCTAACAACTGGGACAAACGATAGAATGTAGAGGAAACACAAAATATGATCATTTTGAGTAGTCAAAATTATTAAGGCCTCATTTGTTTTATTTAACATAGTGGAATTCTGTAGGTGTAATTTTATATTCATGCAGTATTTCTACACTATGAAATCATTACCATATACTATTAAAAATAAAAGTATACTGTCATTTGCCTCCCTTATGAAAAATCTACAATTATTTCTCTACATAGCTGTGTGACACCTAGTTTAATATGATGTCCACTGATATTTGCCTAGATCCCAGACCTTTTGAAATCAGTCGGCATTATTACTCATGCCTGGGTAAAACCACTGACAAACCTGGTGTCTGCAGTGCCTGCTCTCCCGGGAGCTTCTGATAATCTGCTGAGAACAGCCACTGGTGTGATGGAAGGAAACAATATGCTTCGGGAGGGACTTAAGCCCATCCTCAACAGGGTAAGCTGTTTCGACATGTCTTTGTTTATCCTATTCCTAAAATTTGCAAATTATGTAATCCAAAACAATTTTGAGACACTCAAATACAAGGTTACTTAGTAATCCCACGGAACAGTGATCTCTGTAGAAAATAGTTGTGTGTGTCCTAGAAATTCCACAATAGCTTTCTGGAATGGGGTGGACACTCCAGACTAACTCAGATGGTCTTAGAGCATTCACTGTCTGGATCAGCTGTACCATAATGCATTAAGTGAAATATACTGCTCATGTGCAAGGATTCATAAAGTATATAGAGTGTAGAAAGAATTTATCTGAAAAGAAGGAACGAATCAGAACACTGCACCAGAAGAAGTGTGGTATAAAGCACATATCAGGGAAAGTAATGAGTTCGTGTAAAAGTTCACAAAGTGAAAGGATGATACTAGCCCTTTCTTGATGTTTAGTTAATTCCATATATACAGCCAAATATTATATTGCTGATTTGCTATCTGTCTACTTGTGTATGGTTATATCTCATCTGAGATCAGTGACATGTCAGAAAATACATATTATGCCTGTCTCGAATTTATGTGTTGTCATCTAACACCTTTATGCTAATTTCCAAGTTTTCTCACTACAAATCTATAGTTCTCTATGTTCTACCAAAGTTCATTAAAAATTTACAAGGAATATGCATTGAGAGATTTCTCATGTCTGTAAGTGCCTGTCTTCCATGTGTGAGGACCATGTCCATTTCCAGAATTGGTGTCAAATGTCAATGTGGTGTCTTCGCTTTGTAGCCCTCAGAATGGGGAATCAGACTTAAGGAGATGTGTCATGAGTTTCAGGTGAAAGTAAGAACAACTCTCTCAAAAATCCAAGTAGATGCCACTGAAGGAATTATGCCCAAAATTGACCACTGACATCCAAATCATTTGTAGTACAAACACACACACACACACACACACACACACACACACAGAGAGAGAGAGAGAGAGAGAGAGAGACAGAGACAGAGACAGAGACAGAGACCAATAATACGTTTGCATTTGATGTTTAGACCCATGTTGAAGATGATGACTACCCTGAGTGGTCTGGACAGTCAGATTTGCAGTCATCTGATGAAGACACTCTTCGTTCTGCCGTTCATTCCCTGACCACCTGCCTGAAAGGAGATATGCAAAAGATTACCAATTATCTCAGGGACGTGTGGTGCAGAACTAGCATTAGGGCGGAGTGTGGCAATCAGTAATGATTGCTGAGTGCGTCTCCCAGTAATGTTCTCCGGTCATGATACTTGTTGAACCAGATCTTTAATGTCTTTTTTTATGCTTCTTGGTGCATGCATGATTAAAATGGAATTCTTTCAATAAAATAAAATTCTTTAGAAACAACAGATTCAATGTGAAAATTTAAGAAAGTCTCTTGTGTCCATTTAATATAATTGAGTCTAGGCTTTTGTGATGTTCATTCAAAAACCTCAAGTTTGACAAGCACCAGTGTAAAACTGACTTTATATAATAGTGAATGAAGGTGGACAATTTACTTAAGAACAAGGCCAGAGCCTAGTGCTACTCATTAAATCAATTACATCAAGGGAGTAGATATCTGATGGAGCTTATAAAAGAAAACCATTCTGTGAGCAAAGTTTTAGTCTAATAACAATCAATAGAGGTTCAATAATATTGGACTATCCCTAAGTATCATTAATTTAGACATTCAAATATGTAGTAGGTAGAAGTAGGAAACAGATCTATATTTTTCTAGTGCCCATCTGCCACCTTGATTATCCTTAGGGCCTTCTTAGGAAAGAGGCAGATTTCCCTCTTCCATAGTTCAGAATCCAGGACCATTTTAATACTTTAAAAATAAAAATATAAAACAAACAAACTTATCCCACATTGATAGACAAGGTTCAGCATGCCAGAGGACATGGGAACATATCTCTTTGTGGTTTGATTCTAATTGAAGTATGAAGTTTTCAGGCTAGATTAAGAGGAAGCCGATGCAATATACAGGATCACCAAATGAAAAGCAGAAAAATATTTGGGAAGTATTAGCAATTGCTCACTATCACACTAGAGTGGTTCTGCTTTCTATTACCTCTAGGGTATTCAGCTTACAAGATTACATTTGAAGAACTTGTCCCAGCATAAGAAGAATAAAAAGAATCATATTAAAGCAGACAAAACAGTAGAAAAATATTGAGGATATAGATTTATAAATCACACCATGAACAACAAGGGTACAATTTGAGTAGAAAGTAATTAGTATTTTATGAGGATATTTTTCCTGAAATTGTAATGCTTACACAAATAAACTAGTGTTATATTAAGATCAGTATAATAGTTGGTACATTCTTATCAAATTGAATCAAAACAAGTTTGTTATGATAAATCTTTCTGCCAAAAGCTGCCTGAGCCCCACCACCATATGTGAGCTGTATGCCAGCCGCCCGCCTGAGTTAGGGCCCAAATGAATACACAGAAACTTGTATTAGGTACAATGCTGCCTGGCCAATGACTAGGATCCTCATCTGTTAGCTCAGTCTTAACTATCATAAACCTATGTATTTTATAAGACTTATCTTATTGGATGCCGCATTGGCGTCCCTTCTTGCTGGTGTATCACATTGTGCTGCTGAAGCAGGAGCAGAGGGGAAAAGAGGGAGGCTTCCTGTCTCTCCTTCTTTAAATATGAGTCTCCTTGCTATGCCACTTCCTGCCTGGATCACCACTTATCGACTACATTTCCCAGAATCCTCTTTGACTCCTGGTCCAGTCTAACTTGCTGTCTCATTGGCCAAATAGTATTTTATTTAACAATCAATTTGATGTGTTTACTACTAAATACTAGGAAGTATTAATAACTGTCACATTACACTTAACATATATAAAGCACAATTTTGCTAATTTAGAAAAATAGCAATTTTGTAATACAGAGAAATATTACAGTCAAGCACATATTAAAAAAATCATTAAAATGTATCATTAAAGAGCGTCCCAGTCCTCTAAGTTGTAGCAGATGTCACCATGAATATGTACACACCTCAAGAATTTGAGATAAGTATTAACTTTATCTGTGTCAACACACAGGCTATAGGACAATTTATAAAAAGCCAAAACAACATGATTTTTCATTCACTGATTATAAGGATGCAAGCTCTGACCAGGCAGGGTACTACTCAATTTCTTCAATTCCAGATGAACCTAATGATGAATTTAATAGTTGCATTGTTACTGTTTGTACTTGATTGTCCTTTCCCTTCTAAGTATTAGATTATGCTTAAGATAATGCCATCAGTATAGGCTTAAAGAGAAATCTGGCACTAGGGAAATCTTCAGACATCCACAAAGATGATCCCAACTAGAATGTAAGCAGTAGTTCAGAGGCTGCCTTTGATGCCCTCCTTCACCTATAATGAGATTGATGACTACCTTAATTGCATTTCTACAGATTTCATCCAGTAGCTGATGGAAGCAGAAGCAGGCACCCACAGCTAAGCACTGAGTGATACTCCTAGAATCTAGTTGTAGAGAGGGAGGAGGGACAAGTAAAGGAGTCAAGACAATGCTGGAGAAACCTACAAAATCAGCTGACCTCACCTAGTGAGAGCACAGGGACCTAAGTCATAAAGCTGGGGAACCAGCATTGGACTGAACCAAACCCTCTGAATGCGGGTGCCAGTTAGGAGATCTGATCAGTCTATGGGATCTCTAATAGTGGAACCAATATTAACCCAAGTGCACAAATGGACTTTGGGAACCCATTCTTTATGGAGGGATATTATATCAGCCCAGATACATGGGGCCCTCCCCCAAATGATGTGAAAAATTTTTGATGATCCCCATGGAAGGCCTCACCATCCTTGGGGAGTGGGTTGGGGAGGGTTGGTATGGAGCATGGGAGGATAAGGGAAGGGGGGATTGATATGTGAAATGATTGTTTCTAAAGAAAAAAATACTTAGTGCATTGATATTTGTAAGCAACTCTGCGTTAATAAATGTATAGTCTATAAAGGAAAACAATATAAAGATATGAAGGAAAATACCATACCAAATGAAGACGGATCCAGGGAGCGTTGTGGAGGATCACTAATAGTGAGTGATTGCATTGGAAGGACCACAGACTCCCAATCTTACTGGGCAAGCTGGTGGTTAAAATTCTGTATAAAGTCTTCACTTTATATTTATCAGCCAGTGTGATAATATTCCATGTTGTAAAGACACTGGAGTGAAGTCAATACAGTAGTTTATGAAGTGTCTACCAGTATAAAATGTCATAAAATATTATTCCTATTTCAACCTCTACCTTCACTTCTCATTACTTCCATATGATGCTCAAATCAAATGAAATCATTTCAAGGTAAATTATGGCAAAGGTCATACAGGAATGATCATATCAATTATAAGTGAAAGGTGCCATAGTAAGTAGATCTCTCCGTAATATTTGAGGGCATGGTTTCATTCTGGGGAACATTATATAGCATATGCATGAGCCTCATGTTTAGTCTTTGTGTACAGTCATAGGAAATGTGCAAGAAAACAGAGAATAATAACATATAAATAAAGTTATTTATGGAGCTAGGATATTCTTGAGAATCAAGAGGAGCTGATTTCGTGGTCAATAGTATAAAATAATGCCAATGTGGTACCATTATTAATATGTGATTAAAACAACTGCACTTGTGTTGTTACGCATATACATGAATATATATTGAAACATGTATCTTCTTTAATTTCTTTCTTTAAAGACTCAAAATTCTTACTATCCAGTTCTTTTACTTTTTTGGTTAGCATTACTCCAAGATATTTTATCTTGTTTGTGGCAACTGTAAAGGGTGATGCTTGTCTGATTTCTTTCTCAGTGCATTTATCATCTGTATATAGTACTTGTACTGATTTTTTGGAGTTAATCTTGTATCCTGCCATGTTTCTGAAGGTGTTATCAGCTGTAGGAGTTCCCTGGTACAGTTTTTGTGTCACTTATGTAGACTTTCATATCATCTGCAAATAGTGAAAGTTTGACTTCTTTCTTTCCAATTTGTATCCCCTTGATTCCCCTTTGTTGTCTTATTGCTCTAGCTAGAACATCAAGGACAATATTGAATAAGTATGGAGAGAGTGGACAGCATTGTCTTTTCCCTGATTTTAGAGGAATGTCATTGAGTTTCTCTCCATTTAGTTTGATGTTAGCTGTTGGCTTGCTGAATATTGTTTTTTATTATGTTTGGGAATGTTCTTGTTATCACTTATCTCTCCATGACCTTCATATTGAAGGGCTGTTGGATTTTGTCAAAGGATTTTTCAGCATCTAGTGAGATGATCATCTGGTTTGTCCTTCTCAGTTTGTTTATATGGTGGATTACATTGACAGATTTTTGTATGTTGATCCATCCTGGCATTCCAGGGATGAAGCCTACTTTATCATTTTGGATGATTTCTCTGATGTGTTCTTGCATTCCAAAGATCTACAAAGTTGATCCCAACTAACAATCTAAGTAATAGTTGATAGGCTACCTTATATGCCCTTCTCCTATAATGAGATTGACCTTATATACCATCCTGTTACCTTCATCCAGTAACTTATGGAAGCAGATGCAGACACCCACAGCCAAACACTGAGCTGAACTCTGGAATCCAGTTACAGAGAGGGAGGAGATATGAGCAAAGACCAGGCTGGAGAAACCCACAGAACAGCTGACCTGAACAAGGGGCTGTGCATGGACACCAGACTGATACCTGGGAAACCAGCATAGGACTTTTTCCAGACTCCCTGAATGAGGAAGTCAGTTCGGAGGTATGGACAACCAATGGGTCTACTGGTAGTGGATCAGTATTTACCCCCAGTACACAAATAAACTTTGGGAGCCCTCTCCTCATTGAGGGATACTCTCTCAGCCTAAACACACTGTAGAGGCTGTAGTTCCTGCTCCAAATGATATGACAGACTTTGAAGATCCTCCATGGAAGGCCTCACCCTCCCTGGGGAGCAGATATGGGTTGAGATAGGAAATCTGTGGGTGGCAGGGGAGGAGGGGAGGAAAAGGGAACTGAGATTGATGTATAAAAGAGATTGTTTCTAATTTAAATAAAAAAGAAAACAAAACAATATTCTGACTAATAGATCCTTGGTGATGACAAATCCCAGTCAATGTTATATAGTTTTATTTATTATTTATATTATTATTTATATTATTTATAAATGTAGTAAATATATATATATGTGTATATATATACACATATATATATA